AAGAGCCAGTCTCTGTAAGATCCTCATATCGAGTTTTGCCCACAAAATAGATTTCGCTCATAATTTTTCTGTAGACTTCTTTAAATAGGTATATAACAAATTTGAAACTAGATTGGAGAAATTCGCTTCTGTAATTTTTTTTGACCAATTTTGTTTCGGCACCGCATAATGACCTGAGATGCTTGTGAAATATGCGAATTTTGTCAAAATTCAACCGACTGCTCCGAATAAAAGAGCGCGTCCCAAAGCTTCCAATTTACTAGTTTTTTTAATTGAACCTTTATCTTTAAAATAATACAGGTTAGAATCATCGACACTTTTTTGTATAGAAAATCCGAGGGAACACACTTAGCCCCTTTGACCTACTTAGCGAAACATGCGATTTTAGCCAAATTCAGTGGATTAAATCTCAAAAGTGGCTCACACTTACTGGTTCTCCTGCATATCACTGTGCAGTTCCATCCTTCAGTTACTGATTCGTGTTAAAAGTTTTGGCGGCCATTCAGTTTTGGTCGAGGGGTGAGTGGTGGAACTTGCCCTACTTCGCCATTTCGCCAGCGTTTCCATCGCGAATGTCCAGAAGGATTGTCAGAATAGAAAGCGAGAAATCGAGTATATGCCACTCGAAAATTGTCCACTCCCAAAGATTGCATACTGTCAATCACTGTTTTCCATGTGAATATGGTTTTAACCCAACGAAAAAGGGAGACAAGGCGGTGAACGTGAACTTATTTACTGTCCGCCATGTTTTGGAGGGATTTGTGGAACGTAAGGAATCTGGAATCCGGAATCCGGAATGCGGAATTTGCAATCTTTCAAATACTCACCTGTTAGAGTATTCCTTTTTTATTTGTCGAAAATCATTTCGCATTTACAATAATTATTTCATCTTTTACTTTACAGGATATTGAACAGAATGTCTTAGAAGCCTTGGCTGATCAAGGCATTAAGAAACCCCTAATCGAGCTTTTTGCTGCTATTCAAACGTGACTCCGGCTGTTATATAAGTAATTATAGAAAATAAGTTGTCAAAACAGTACAAAACTTTGTATAGTTCCATTCTTCAGCTACTGAATCGTTCTAATACATTTAGCGGCCATCTAGTTTCGTCTGAAACCAAGGGTTGACAGTTGCGATACTTAATACACGTCACAGATGACGCTCTGCCCTGCTTAGGTTACAAACTTAGAGATGTCTACGGTACTGTTTTCCACAAGCACTGAATACCGCACCCCCACCCCCTCCCTTCTCTCTCTCTCTCTCTCTCCATAAAGTTATCAATAAAATTTCGACCATTCTCAATTACGAACTTAAGTCATTCTCCAAAGCAGTCCATAGCCATTTGCAAACCACTGACCACCTGAATCGCAGTTTAGGCTACTGGCAAACTACCAAAATGGCAGGTGCACTTGCCAAGTGTTCCTTTGCCGGGATAGCAAATATTACCTGTGGTTCCTCGCGCGGTAAAGACGAATTTGTTCCTCTTAATAAGTGCGTTGTTGAAGTCAAAAACCATCTAAGAATGTGCAACCTTTCACGTACGAAGGTTACAGAATATGACCTCATTTTGGCAAGGGCGGGAAAGTTTAACCTTTCGCATGAGGAAGTAGAAAAGATGGTGGTTTGCCCTGCCCATAGGCACAACCTCAGTATATACTGGCGGCCACGTAAAAGCTGTCAGTATCCTGGCCATGAAGGAAAAAAGATTGCTCTCCATTGTAAAAATCCAATTAACTGGCAAATGGCACAAGAAATACGCGAGATGTTTGTTACCCTTGTTCAAGTGGGGTCACGTAAGTATTTTCAACTGTTTAGTTTTAACTCCTGTAGACATTTTTTTATTAAAAAGAAGTGATTGAGCATAAATAAATGAGGAAAAAGGGTAAATTAAGTATAAGGGACATTCACATTTGCTTCGTTTTGTACAAGTCGCTAGAGGAGTTGCGTGTCACGCAATGTTTACTGCAAAATGACTATTCCTCAGGCTTTAAAGCAGTTTACCTAACATTCCTAAAACATAATATATACATATCAAAGAAACAAAGAAAAGAAACGTGTACAGAACATAGGTCGTTTCTTAGAAAATAGAATTTTTTCATAAATGGAACTGGCTTATGTAAGAGCTTATTTGCATTTTTTCATGTCTAGGTTTTATTTGCTGTAGTAATTCAATTAACATTCTGTGGATATGTTAAAAGCAAATCAAGAGCCTGAATATCTGCCAGGCTTGATGTTTTAAATTATAATTCACTTTATTGCAATTGTGAAAATTCCGTTTTATTTGTTTGGTGTGAAAAATGTACAACTGCACTTATAAGTAGGCAGGCCGATCATGTAAAACTTTTCAGTTAAAGAAACGCTCTTTGTTTGAACCATGTGGTAGATTCTACTTTTCACAGGTGTGAAAACGTGTTGTATTTATTTAGGCTCTTTCCCGTACCAAGAAGATTATATAATTATCAGGGTGTCAAAGGGCATTTAACCAGCCTTCTTGCAGAGT